AGAGGGAACTCAGGAGGAGGGAGAGCTGCAACATACTCAAGTCCTCATCATCATCAGCATCATCATCATCATCATCATCATCATCATCATCATCATCATCATTATCCTTCTCCTTCTCTTTTTCTCTCACCCTTCCGCTCTCTCCTTCTCTCTCTCTCTCTCTCTCTCTTTAACCTTCTATCTCGTTCTCTTTCTCTCTTCACTGTCCATTATTCGGCATCCTCCCTCGTTCGGCAAGCGCGCAAGAGAAAGCCCATAAGACACACCAGGATGAGGAGGAGGAGGAGGAGGAGGAGGAGGAGGACGTCGGGGGAGGAGGTCGGGGGAGGAGGACGCGGACGAGGAGGAGGAGTAGGAGGAGGAGGAGGAGGAGGAAGAGGAGGGAGGACACGGACATCCTCGCGTCGGGGAAAAAATCACGTCCAGCGGACGGTCTGGAGAAATTTCTCCCTGCTGGGGTCCTCGCCGGGCCCCAGGGCCGTCAAGACACGGCTCGAGACGGAGTGCCAGTCCCCAGGCAGGGGCCGAGGCTTCTCTGCCAAAGGGCACGACGTTGGATGTCTGGGGGAAGAGGAGGTTCGGGGGTGGACAGAGTGCCCACCCTGAGACGTCGATCAGCGAATTGTCCGTTGTCGGTTCTCGAGAGGGCGCCGCGGCCGTCCTTTTCCAGGCTTGCGCCCGCCAGGCTTGGGCCCTATTCAAGGGGGCCCTGTCCATCCCCGAGAGGTCTGCGGGAGGAGGGGCCTGGAGGACTCCCCGACAGCCGCCGATTTGATGTTTTGCCCATCTGCGGTCCCAGAGGTCCCGACCCCTGCCCCCGGGGCCCCAGGGGTAGTTGTCCGTGCTTGTCTCGTGTTCCATCAAGCTGAAGTCGGGCGTGTCCCTCTACTGGAGGGATGTCAAAGAATAGTCTTGGGACGATGTTTTGATTTTGTTGACTGTGTTTGAATATTTGCTTGGCTATATGTAATGTTTCCAAAATCCACCTGTAGGAGGACATGCTCGACCTAACAATATTCCCAGGGCCCGAAAACGAACCCCGGATGGCCGATATCCAGGAGATGCTCCAGGATTGAGAAAAAATGCTCGTCGGAGGTCTGGGGTCTCTGGCGGAGGGAGGAGGGGGGGTAAGGGGGGAGGGGGAGTTTCTGGATTGCGCCGCTGATGAAGGAAGGGGGGGGGAAGGAGGGAAAAGAAAAAGAGGGGAGGAGCTGGAGGGAGGAGGGTCTAGGAGGGGAAGGGGCCTGAGGGCTGCACACTGCCCCGCCCCAGGGGTCTGGGCCCCTGGGGGGGTCCAGACCTCTGGGGCGGCTTCTTGGGAAGGATGCCAGGAACTGGCTCCTCATCCCGAGGAGCCAGTTCCTGGGGAGGCTCCCCCAGAACTGGCTCCTCAGGACGACACGCCAGCTCTTGGGGCCCAGACCCCTGAGATGAGAAGCCAGGTCTTGGGGAGCCTGAGTCGTTCTCTTAAGGGTCCTGGTGCCTGGCGAGGGCCCCTGGAGCCCGAACATCGCCACAAGCCGTCCGTCGTGGTTTTGCTCACGACGCGAGGATGTCAGAGAGGAGGGCCCGAAGGTCCGACGTTGACACATTGTCGCAGGCCTAGAGATTGACACCAACACCAATATCGGGGGTGTGCATCCACCTATGGAAGAAGAATCCGATATCGGTGATGGTGATAATATTCTGGCTTCCAAGCTGACCGAAGTATTACCACCTACACCGAAATCTGGGATCATCTTCCCCCTGTGGAGGCAAGCCCCTGTATTGGTGCTGGTGCCCATTTCCAGGCTTCCAACATTGCCCAAAATCACGACCGGGGCCCTAGGTCACATCTTTCTGCAGCATGTTTCGAGCTGAAGCCCGAAACCAAGGCGAAAACGCCCGGTGTAAAAAGTGTGCAACGCCTGGACCTCGGTGGGAGAGGACGTGCTGCTTCGCATGAATTTGATGTCAATGAATGGAGGATGAGTTGGATCCGTCAGTGGATGATTATTATTTTTGGTAGTGGGCCAGCTTATGATGCCAACCCATGCCCACCCCGTCCCGCGCCTCCAGGGTTAGATCGGGCATGTCCCCCTACAGGCAGATATTGTAGGACAAAGATCCAAAGAGCCAAAAAGATTCGAAAATGGCCAAAAAGGATTTAAAAAAATCCTCACCTGACAACTTGTTGATTATGTTTGAATGCTCCTCCTTTAGAGGGACACGGGACTTGACCCCCGGGGCCCCCCACCGCCCAGGGGGCCGCCGAGCCCGGCAGCAGGCCGCTCATGCAGGCCACGAGCAGCGGCAGCTGGCCGTCCAGCGAGGCCAGCGGCAGACGGCCAGCGCGACCCCGGGGCGGGGGGGGGCGGGGGGGGGGGGGGAGGCGCCCGGTCCCCCTCAGGCCGCGGCAGGGGCACGGCGACGGGGGGGGGGGGCAGCGCTGGGGATCGTTTTTTGTGAATCCTTGGTCTGCCGATCGGCGCGGGTCCCCCAAACCTCTTATGTCGGGCGTGTCCCCCTGCAGGGGGATTTGCGACGAAAAATAAAAAATGCCCCAAAAGTACCCCCAAAAGGTCAAGAAAATATTCGAAAAATAGTCTCCATACTATTTTTGGATTTTTGTTTGACTATGTTTGGGGTATCCTTTATTTTTCGTCGAAAATACCCCTGTATGGGGGACACGCCCGACTTAACCCCAACCCCCCTTCCCCCTCCCCCCCCCGTGGAGTACAGTAGATCTTGACTGTTTGGGGCGCCTGCTTCGAGCAGGTGGGGCCTCCCCTCACAGGACCCGGTGCTGCAAACAGTCGCGCGAAGCAGAGGTCTGGAGCCAGACCCCCCCTTCCCCCCCCTCCGCCCAAATATTGAAACGCCGAATAAAAAAAACGCTCACCTCACAGAGGCCGTGGCCCGGTCGCTTAGGGGCAACGTGGGGGGGGGGTCGGGTGAGAGCTTCAAGGATCGAGCTTCGAGCTTCGAGGCTCGCTGCCCGGCCGCGTCTGGCCATCTTGGGGCGACCTCGTGGCCACGGCTGGACTCACCCCGGGATTCTGGTCAGAACGCACACCAGTAGGGGTCCAGGCGTAGATTTTTCTGACGCTTTCAGGGGTTCGAGGTTTCGGACGGCTTCATCCGCTCTCGGCGGTTGTCCGGCCTCGGGATGCCTTTCCAGCGGCTGCTCCTCGCCGAGTGCGTTCCAGGGGTGCCCGGATCGTCCCGAACGGCCGCCGGGGAGTCGAGTTAATTGTGACCCGAAAGCCAGGGGGAACGTTAAGAAGATGTACGCAGGCTCAGCGGGGGATACGTCAACCCCAAGTTGCCCGTGTGGCGTGTGGCTTCCCCTGTTTGCTGGGCGAAGTTGTGATTCGCTCTGTGGTGGTAGCCGCGTCTTGTGCAGATCATGTGGCCGCGTTCTCCTCCTCCTCCTCCTCCTCCTCCTCCTCCTCCTCCTCCTCCTCCTCCCCCGACCTCCTCCTCCTCCTCCTCCTCCTCCTCCTCCTCCTCCCCCTCCTCCTCCTCCTCCTCCTCCTCCTCCTCCTCCTCCTCCTCCTCCTCCTCCTTATCCAAAAAAACCACATTGACCCCAATGTGCCCACTCATCGCCGCTAGGGGCCCCATGGCCCACCTTGGGAAGCACGCGGACTTGCCATCGGGGGCTCGCCGCCGACGTCTCGGCGATGTGCAGCCGATTCCAGCTCAACGTTCCCCCCCCCCCCCTTGAGCCAGCCCCCACTCTCGGGCCGGGCGAAAGGGGGGGATTGGGAAAGGGGGGTACGAAATTTGCTGCATGCAGCTGGTTTCGGCCTCACCGAGGGGCCCATTCCTCGATACATAGCTCCCTCCGGCGCTGGGAGGCGCCAGGAAAATCAGCTACGTGAGCTGATTCTCAAACCCCCCCTTTGCTATCCCCCCCTTTCGCCCGACCCGACACTCCAAGTCCGGGCCCGCGCAGCCGGGGTCAGCGCCAACGCGGGCGTCTCGAGGTGGCGGGGGAAAGCGAGGGAGCTCGAGGCTTGCACGGAAAAGGAGGCCCCCTGCGGCCCGGACGGCCGCGAAAGACGGACCTCTCTGCGCCACATCCCCACCCGCCTGGCCCCCCCATGGAGCAGCAACCGAACGTCTGGGCCCGTGCAGCGCTGTCAGCATTCACGGCGGTTGGCCAGCCCCTTGGGCTCCTCTGGCGGGCCTGGGCTTGGGAGCCACCTGGCCCTGACGTCTGGGCGTTGCAGTTCTCAGGCTGTGGGGCGATTCCGCGCGCTGATCGGGCCCCGGGACGACCAGAGATCGATCTGGCTCGAAAGGTGCCGCCGAAAGATGGGGTCTAGGGTTCCGATCGTGATTTTTCGCGATGTTGCAGCTTGTTCGCTACATCTCACGAGCCGACAAATAACACACAGACCTATAGGACCCTCAGTGCCCGGGCAGGAGTTCAAGGGGGTGCTACTTATGGGTGTGTGTGTGTGTGTGTGCGTGTTGTCGGATGGGGGTCACCGCTCGAATGGGAGACCCAGTCGGGGTCCGACAACCCGCGCCACTACCTCTGGCGCGCGCTCACATCGCGAGGCGCGGGTCGGCGGTACCCCATACGCTTAAGTCGGGCCTGCCCCGCTGCAGGAGGAATGTCCAAAAATGGTCCAGAAATAGTCTGGGGACGATTTTTCTAGTATCCTTGAGTATGTTTGAATATGCTTCGACTATGTTTTAATTCTTCGTCCACGATCCCCCTGAAGGGGGACATGCCCGACTTACCCCTGCGCGTGTGAGGTCGTGCTGTCCGTTCCGCAGCAGGGGGAGCCGACCCCGCCCCCCGCCCTCCGCTGGCCTGGGCTCGGGGGCTGCCGCCGTGGCCAGAGCCCGGGTCCGCGGCGCGGGCCCAGACTCACATCGGCCCCAGAGTTACGGAGGGAGGGCCCCTCTCCTACATCGGGGGCGGAAAAGAGGGGGGTAATGACTAGGGGGGGTGGATATCATGGCGGGGGCCATGATATTTCCCCAGATTTCATGGCGCCTCTTCTTGTTTCATTACGTCCCTGGCCCCCCCGCTGGGCCGCGCACATGCCGCCGGTCATGATTTGCACCCCCCCTCTTGGACCCCCCCCTCTTGGCCGCTACCGAGACTTACAGAGGGAGGGCCCCTCTCTGACACATGGTTCATGTCTAATTCTTCGGAAGCTCTTTGATTTTTTGGGGGGCCAAGATCATTTCATTTCTAATTGTTCTATCCTGGCCTGACCTCCTACCCTGACACGTCGATGAGCGAATTGGCCGTTTTCGCTTCGCGAGGGGGCGTCGCGGCCGTCAGTTTTGCGGGTCCGGGTCCGTCGGTTTCGGGCCTAGGTTGTTTTCACGAATGGGAGGTTTACGAAAAGGAGGTTTGTCCACCGCCGAGGGAGGACCCCTCCCCCCGCCTCCGTCCTGTGGAGGAAGGACCCCTCCCCTCATGATGTCCCAACCTACTTTAGCCTTGATCACCAGAACGAATTTCGAGCCCCCAAAAAAATACCGAAACTCGAGGGCGTCCACGCGTCTGGCCCTGGCAGACACTCGTCCAGCACTGTTTCGACACTGTTTCGACACTTTTCCGGGTGCTCAAAATCATTTCTGGGAAGTGGCCCTTAAGTACGATGGGAGCAACATAACCCTCCCCCCGCCTCCGTCCTCTTGGAGGGGGAACAGCGTTCCCCGCGGAAAGATGTGTGATTCTTCCCACCTCGGTAGTGCGCGACCCCCCAGCCAGCATTTCAGCGCCTTGTCACCTGCTACGAGTCGGAACCTACGGGTCCGACTCTCACTCGGGCGTTGCGTAATGGGGGGGAGGGGGGGCGATAAATGGGGGGGTTAGGAAAGGCGCGCGCACCTTCATTACTCAAAATCCGTCTTTAATCTACCCCCCCCCTAAAACCGGACCCCCCTCCAAATGCGACTTAATATTCCGGACCCCCCTCTTCGACGGGGCGCCTTGATAAACCGGACCCCCCTAAGCTCCAATCCAAAGAAAACGCCCTAATAAACCGGACCCCCTCCAGTTACAAGAAAGACGCCGACCCGGGGGACGATTCATAAGGGATTTGGAGTAGGCCATTCAGGGGCCCGAAAGGGCCCCCCTACGACCCAAATTGGGCACGAAAGGTGCACGCTCCTTCGCCCCCCCCACCCACGGAGCAGCACCCGAGGCCGGGCCTCTGGAAGAGAGAGAGAGAGAGAGAAAAAAAAAAAAAAAAAAAAAGCCCGCCGGGGATCTGCCCCCGAGACAGGCCCGACGATGCGCCAGCGGCCCGTCGGCCACCCCGCGACGACGCGCCCGCGACCCGCGCGCGCTGCGACGCTGCGACTCGTGCTGCTTTCGCTGCATCGGGCGTGTCCCTCTGCAGGGGGAATGTTCGAAAATAGTCCCGAAATAGTCTGGGGACAATTGTTATTATTATGTTTGGACTATCTTGGAGTATGTTTTGGCGATGTTTAATTTTCCGTTCAAAATCCGCCTGTAGGAGGACATGCCCGACTCGACCTAACGCTTGCGACCCGCGCCCCCCTCCACTCTTGACCGCAACACTGGAGGCCTCCTGTCCTGCACCCCACGAAGCAGCACCCAGCTCACCTCGCCCTCGTCAGGGGCGAAAGAATGGACGCACGCGCAGACATTAACACACGCTCGTGTCGAGAGTACGCCTTGCGCGAACGTTCGTATGACGAGGCTGGTCTGGCAGACTGGGGGGCCGTATTCATGTGCGTGGTGGGCGCGTACGTTCGATCTTTCTCCCCCAATCCCCGAGTATCGCCCGAGCAAAAGGGGGAAGCCCTGGTCCAGTCGAACACCTCCCAAAGGTCGGAATATGGGTAGACGTATCCCCTGTTACACAGCCGAGGTATGATTAAGAAACCTCCCCACGGAAAGCTGGGCCAGCGTTTCTTGGCCAGCTTGCGGAACAGCTGGCCCAGTTTCTTGCTCCTTCGCCCATCCAGCATTAACACGAACACTTGGCCCTGGCTTGTCTTGAACAATGTCCGAGAAGTTGGCCCAGGTTTCTCAAGTGATAAGTTTCTTGATCGTACTTCCGGTTGTATACGTCCTTTGTGGGCTCCCTATCTCGGCGCGCCGTCGGTGTGCTCCCGCCCGTGGGGAGCCCCCCCCCACCCCGCGCTCCCGCTGGCCGCGCAGAAGCGACTCCAGCTCCAAGGACTCCTCCGGGGGTGCCTCCCGAACGGTGCGCGGCGACCCTCCCCGAGAGGGCACGGTCGGACTGAGGCATGAGATCGAGGTCGGCTCGGGGAGGGTACCCTCAGGTTCTTCCTGTTTGTCGGATGCATCCTGGGGCCTGCGCATCCTGGGGCCGGCGGAGGGTATCATGTCGTTCCTAAGGATGTTCGCTTGGGCCCGATAGTCGCAGACGGGGTCGGAGGATTGCGCCCCGTCCAGGTTTTCCAGCCTGGGTGGGGTCGGAGGAGGTGAGGTCGGAGCATCGCGCTGCATCGCCGATGTGTCGGCGCCGTCGGCGTGGAGGCAATCGGGCTCCGCATCGAGCCGCATCGACGATGCATCGGCGATGCGCCCCACTCGGGAGTCCTGGAGTGGCTTTCGGGGCACAGCTCGGGCCTCAGGCGGCCGTTCGGGACGATTCTGGCATCCCCCAGAGCGCTCTCGACGAGGCGCAGCTGCTGGAGAGAACCCCCGAGGCTGGAAAACCTCGACGGAGCGGGATCTTCCGACCCCATCTGTAGGAGGCTTCTGGTGGGGATCCTGGTGTCACCGCCCGGTGTCGGAACTCGGGCCGTTCGCCGAGGACGTCTCGGGCGACCCAGGGGCCACCCCGAGGCCCCAAGACCGTGCGAAAGGCGGACCGCGCGGTGGGGAGGAGGAGGAGGAGGAGGAGGAGGAGGAGGAGGAGGAGGAGCAGGAGCAGGAGCAGGAGCAGGAGCAGGAGCAGGAGCAGGAGGCGGCGGCGGAGGAGGAGGAGGGTCCTGTGGGGTTCCGAGGCCGCGCGGTCCGTCACCACACGGTCCTGGGGCTCCGAAGGTTTGGCATCGCTCGGACGTGCGTGTTTTTATGTATGCGGCGAGGGGCCACGGAGGAGCTTTTTGGAGCACCTGGCGAAAACGCACGCGCAGAGCCAAACAAAAAGCACGGGGAATGGACGTCCGAGCGATGGCCAGGGTCACCGCGCGGTCCGTCACCACACGGCTGTGGTCAGAAGCCGGGCGGAGGCTGGCAAGCCCGTGGCCGCTGCAACGGAGTTGCGGGAAGTTGCTGTTTTCCTCCTCCGGGAAGCTGCCCGTTTGCCACCTAGCGCGCGCTGAGCTATTGATTCCGGGAATGTGTTCTTTTTTCTTCCGGGAGGACCGCTTCAGCAGCCACGGTTTTGCCAGCCCTCGCCCAGGCTCCACGTTGGGCCTCCGGAGAGGACGCCTCCTGGGCCGAGCTGCAGGGCTGGCCGAGCAGGGCCGGCCTCCCGCTGCGCCGCCTGCAGCTGGACTCGGACGGGGACTCGGTCGAGCGGCGGTCCGCGCGAAGCCCCAGCAGCGAGTCCGGGACGCTGTCCACTGCGAAGGAGGAAAAGCGCCGTGGAAGTCGATTTTAATGGAGAGGAAGAGCGTTGCCAAATCATTTCCAGATGTCTAGAAGATGTTTCAAACATGTTTTAAATACGCTAAAAACATGTTTGAAACATGCTTAGAACATGTTTTGTACATTTTAAACACATCCTTAATCCAATGATATGATTGTTCGAGTGTCCATTGTCATGGCATCCACAATAAAAGCGGCACAAGCTCGTGCGGCGCCAGGACTCAGAGGAGGAAAAGGTACACCTGTACCTCTACCCTTCGGCCGGTTTCCTCTTGTTGGGGCTTCCTGGGAGGCCCTCGTCGCCACCGCTGGATTCGCTCCGAACTTCTGGTCGGAACGCACCCCGGGGGAGGTCCGGGGGGTAGCGGTATCGATACTTCTTGGCTTCCCCAAGGACGAGGATCAATCCGTTCCAGAGCGTTCTGGAACGCTCTCAGAGCATTCCGGAGCGCTCTGAGAAGGCCGAGGTGCCCGAGACATCCTTTAGAGCCGCCAGATCTCAGAGATCCCCGATTGATCCTCACCCGATGTGATCCTCGTCATGGCTTCGTCTTAGCAACGCTGACTCGGGATTCGCCGTACTTTGGGGGCGATGTCGTGAGTATTAGGGCAGACATGCCCGCCCTGTTCATTAAGCGCCTCTGGTTTCCGCCCTGCTTTGCCGTCGCTGTTCCGTCACATCTTGGCAGAGATAGCCGCCCTGTTTTTCTGAGGTGGGAAATTTCGCCCTACTGTTTCGCATGGTTTGGGGCGCATGCTCGACACAATGTCAAGTAGGATAGTCAACCACAGTACGGCGGATCCGGAGTCAGGGAAAGCAGCAGCGCTCGGACCCGGACATGGTCGCGGCGTGAAAAGATCGCGACGGCAGGTGTTTGGCCGTTCTCGGCTTGCGGGGGCCCCGCATTGACAAACATCCTAATATCGCATGCCTGTAGAGAGCCGCGCGGACCTCTTGGATCGGCGCTCGGGATCCCCTGGCGGCGCCTCCAGCGCGCCAGTGAGGGGGACCCAGACGCATGCAGAAACAGTCAACCCGGGACCCCCTCGCGTCGTGCAAATTATCGCGACGGTAGGCTTCTGACAATGTCCCGCTTCCCGGGGCCCTCGACGGGCGCCAGGACCACGAAAAATTACCTAAGATGCAAAGCTGGCCCCTGGGAAGGGGATCAGACCCCTGGAGAGCCGCGTTGTGAACAAACTGCGACGTCAGATGTCTGTCAGGAGGGAAAGAAACACCCAGACACAAGCCATCGTCGATTCCCAGGAAAACATGCGAAAAGATGGGAAGCGGGGGAAGACGAACACCCAGAAAATATTGGAAAATATTGGGAATCCTGGGATTGATGTGTATTTCTTTGTGTGTCTCCCTGGGCGCCCTTTGTCTGGGGAGGTCTGCGCGGCCTTCTCGGGCCGGCGCTTGCCTCGGGCCCTTGTGGCGGCGCCTCGGGCGCCGACTCCCTGGCGTTGGGTCGGGTCTGTCCCACATACTGGCGGATCTTGAGCGAAAAATTCAAAATGCTCAAAAATGCACCAAAATAGTCCAACTGATAATGATAATAATAATGATACTAATAAAATCCCCGTATTATTTTGGACTATGTTTGAATATTCCTTCCTCCTGTAGAGGGACAGGCCCGACTTAACCCTGGCGCGGGGGGGAGGGGGGGGGCCAGCGCCGTGCCAAAATCCGCGCTGGCCTTTGGAAGCTCATGCTCAGCCTCATGATGTTCCAGCCTACTTTAGCCTTGATCACCGGAAAGAATGCTGAGCACCATAACAGTTTCCAAGCTCACGGGTTTTCACGCGTCGGGTCTTGGGAGACATTCGTCCGACACTGTTTCGACATTGTTTCGACACTTTTCGGGGTGCTCGAAATCATTTCAGGGATTTGGCCCTGAAGTACGATGAGAGCAACATAAGTTCAGCCTGAGATCCGACGTTGCAAAAAGACTGCAGCCTTGTGAAAAATCGCGACTGGCGCCCTGGGCCCAATCTGTCGGTGGCAGTTTTCGAGCCGCCGGGGGCACAGAAACTGCAACTCCTGACGTGGTGATTTTCTCACAGCATGACCTCCGGAGAGCTGAGCCCCTTCCTGGGGATCTGAGTTTTGCCTTGTCTCGGTCTCTGACAGTCCTGGCGGCCAGTGAGGGCCCGCGGAGGCCGAAACCTGCTCCAAAAAACTCCCGCTGCGAGGTTTTCTCACGGCGAGAGGGTCGGCGGGGGCCTGCGCTGGTCTCCGACAGTGATGGGCCGATGTTCCACCACCACTGCCATAGGTAGGAGAGGGAAGAGGAGGAGGAGGAGGAGGAGGAGGAAGAGGATGGAGCAGGAGACGAGGAGAAGGAGGGGGAGGAGGAGGACGAGGAGGAGGAGGAGGAGGAGGAGGAGGACCTCCCTATCCTCCCTTCTCCCCTGGCCTACCTATGGTAGTGGTGGTGGAAAATCGGCTCATCAGAGAGCTCAGAGATCCGATGCCGTGATTTTGTCCAATTTAGGGGGTCCCCAGAAGTCTCGACCCATTCCCCGCGACCGGCTTCTCATCCTGAGTCGTTTCTTGACGGCCCTGGGGCCCGGCGAGGGCCCCTAGAGGCCGAAAGCTGCGCCGCATCGCCGTCCCGATCTCTTCCCACACGATGGACCTCTGGGAGGGAGAGAGAGAGAGAGAGAGAGAGCTCCTGCCCACGCCGCTCTTCCTGCTCCGCCCCGTGCAGAGCCCGCGGCGGTGGCACAGCGCCAGCGGCGAGGGCACCAGCGGCGAGTCCTTCGCGCACCCGCAGGCCGCCAGCGCCCCGGCGGCGGAGCACGCCGCGGCGGCGCGCGCGCTGCCCTCGTTCGCGGACCGCCTGGCCGGGCTGCCGGAGGTCTTCCCCGGCGCGGCCCGCGCGCGCGAGCCCGCCGCGGCGGAGGAGGAGCCGCGGCCCGGCCGCGCGCAGAGGGGGGGCGGGTGCAGGGGGCAGGGGAGGCGCAGAGGTGCAGATGGGGTGTTTCCCCGAAGGGCTTAATTAGGCGACCCCTCCTCCTCCTCCTCCTCCTCCTCCTCCTCCTCCTCCTCCTCCTCCTCCTCCTCCTCCTCCTCCTCCTCGTTTTGTTCGAGACCTTCAATGCCAGTCAAGGAAAGCGGACGCTTAAGCTTCGATTGGAGAGGACTCGTGCGCTGGTTGTTCTAGCGCAAGAAATAGGACACTATGACTGGGAATGCGAAGCACTCAGTACATGGGCTAGCTCCCGCAAGTGGCAGATGATGGTCATTCCTGGGAAGCCTACTGATGGACATCTCCCGTCAGGCGGATTAGCTATTTTCGCAAGGGAAGGCGTGGGGTTACGAGGCCCTGAGTATCCTGCATCTACGGCGGCTCGAAGACAAAGCGAGACGAATGAGCAGATTGCCTTCGGGTCTGAGCTGGTAGCCCATCGAGCGCAGCACGTGCTCGTGGAGTTGGAAGGATGGCCACCACTCAACGTCTTCAACATTTACCTGCACACGGCCGAGGGCATGACGACGAGGAATGCCAGGATCCTCATGAACGTAGGGCTCGCTATGGCAGGACAACAGTACCCATGCGTGGTAGGGGGCGATTGGAATATGTCGATCGAGGAGGTTGAGGCATCGGGTTTCCCAGTGCATGCACAAGTCGGACTTGTCAGCCCAGGCCAGGTCACATGCAGGGGACCGACCAGCGCAACAACGATTGATTTCTTCGCCCTAAGTTCTGGAGCCATGAGGCTCATGAGGAAATGCCAGGTGGACAAGACATGGCATAAGAAACCGCACCGACCTGTCCAGCTATCGCTATGTGGCCAAGGAACGACAATGCAATACCTTACATACGTTGGAGGGGCCAAGATTGCACCTGACATAGTTGTGGGCCCATTGTGGTACGACGCCGACTGGGAGTTCGAGCGGAGCTATGCTGCAGAAGCGTCCCGCCAAGCAGCGGTTGCTCCAGTAGCAGTGGCGTGGAAGGTACTATCACGAGCTTGGGGCTTCTGGGCGTGCAAGGCTGCAGTAAGGCGTGGCCACATCACGGGCACGTTCATCAAGGCACCAGAGCACTTCAAGGGTATGATCCGACCCAAGTGGATATCTTATGCATATGAGGGACAAGACGCTGAAGGTATCCAGGCAGTCGCTGATGGATGGCAATGGTTTGCAGATGCAGTCAGAGGGATCGCTATGCTCAAGAACGGCAGAGGCCAAGAGCAAGAAAGGCAACTCGCTGATGAAATCCAAGGCTTCCTGGAGACCGATTATGTGGGCCAAAATGTTAATCATCGTCTAGACGCTTCTGTCACACGAGCAAGACGGTTGATTGGTCATGCCTCAACATCCAGCGAAGATCTACATGAATTTCTTGCTGAATGCGAAGAAGATATTGAGTATGCGAAGCAGCAGGCAGACCGAGATAGTGCTGCTCGCTGGAAGGACTGGTGCGATATTGCATGTGCGGGAGGCGCTGGGCGATTCCATCGTGCAACCAAGATCAACAGTGTTCAGGCGCCAACGGTAGTATGCAAGACCACCACAGACGGCATGAGCGGACACCCTCACCAGATTGTCTTGGACATGGAAGCCAAGCACCACAAACTCTGGCAGGCGACTGAGGAGGCACCGCACGTCTGGGTACCTGATCGCAGCACCATGGATAGACCTAGTCCAGGCATGATCAGAGCAGCGTCGAAGGAGTTCACCACGAAGACCTCGAGCAGCCTGGACGGCATCCACCCGTCGCACTTTCAGCACCTGAGCGATGAGTCTCTGGAGGGCCTCTGCGACATCTTCCAGGCGGTGGAGGCGATCGGAGTTTTTCCCATTCAACTGACGTGGATGGTGATGCCGATGTTGCCCAAAGCTGCTGGAGGACACAGGTTGATCATTCTGTACTCGGCGGCTTACAGAGTATGGCAAAAGATGAGAAGACCTGGACTCGACATGATCCAGCAGAGATTGAACCGCAATTACTGGGGAGCGGCATCGGGGAGAAGCGCAGTTGACAGTGCGTGGATCCTTGCAGCGGACAACGAGCAGAATGTATGTCAGAACAGGTTCGTGGTCACGATTGTCGCAGACTATAGCAAGTATTACGAGACGATCGGATTGGACCAAGCGCGCGACAAATTGATGCGCCTAGGCATGCCAGTCCCAATGGTCAAGGTGGTATACAATCAATGGAAGGGGCCAAGGATCATACGACTGCGACTCCACCACGGAGGAGCACCAAGGCATGCGAACGCAGGGCTTCCAGCAGGCGATGCGTATGCAGACGTGGTGATAAAGGCTCACGCCGTCGAACAGTACGACATGTACACGACCTTGCATCCGCTGGTGCGTTTCGCTTCCTACATTGATGACACAGCGCTTGGCGTCAACAGCAGTTGCAAGCAGAGGGTGATTGACCAGGCGGTGGATGCGACAAAAGGCTTCTTCAAGGTTGCACGGGCACTAGGGGCCAGCATCAACGAGAAGCTTGCCATCATTGCGAGCACCAAAGCTATAAGTGATGAAGTCAGTCGCCGACTTCACCTTGATTTGAAGATCAGCTTGAAGAGCACGGCGTATCTGGGCACTGACGTTTCTGGAGGCAGGGCTCGGAATGTCAAAGGTACGCGCGGGAAGTTTCGGGCAAGACAGAATGCGCATGGCAGAAGGCTGAGGAAGCTACGGAAGTTCAAGAAGGTGCTCGCTGGCAAAAAGACGGAGAGAATTGGGAAGATCTACCGTGTTGGTGCGAGGCCTGCATACACGTTCGGGGTGGAGGTCAACGGGGTCAACGACGTGGAGCTATTGCAGTTACGGCGGGAGTACAACAAGCACGTTAAGCCCAGCCACGGCGGCACCTCCGCGAGCGCGAAGCTGGTGCTGCTAGGCGACCCCGCTGCCACCCAAGCACTGGCTCCTGCCCTCCAATGGTCAAGGATGGTATGGGCCGCCACAGCCAGGCCTGATACCGCAGCTGTTCCACTTGAATTGCTGGAAGCTTGGTGGAGAAGGGCAGTTACCGAACCTGGAGAAGTCAAGCAGTGGAGTAAAACACGTGGTCCCCTTCAGCGTGCAGCACTCTCAGTACAACGAGCTGGGTGGCACACGCGTACAGGGTGCCTCTGGATCAACCATCGAGGCGACGAGGTGCATGTGGGGCAACTCACCCCTGGCCTTCTTGAAATGATGTTGAGGCAAGGCCTAGCAGTGCAGCATGAGAAGGCACTTGCGGAGAAGTGGGACATGCAGCCTTACACACGAGTCACCTTCGATATCCTTCGGCGACACGTCAAGTCCAGGAAGTTCAACAAATACCAGAAATTCTGTATCATGAACTGCGCATGTGATGGAGTATGGACACGTCAAAAAGCGAAGGAGAAAGGATACCGAACGGACGGCAAGTGCGAGTGTGGGGACGAGGACACGTTGGTGCATAGGCTGGCGGAGTGCACTCGTCCAGAAGTCGTGGAAGCACGACATGAAGCTGGAATCCCCGAGTCGTTCCTTCAGGAGCTACGCCAAGCGCCAGATGATCGCGTCGTCACCCAAGGGGCTTTCGCATATCCTGAGTGGGAAATTCCTGAAATGCAACTAGGCACTGGCAGCGTGATTCTCGACGGTGATGGCAACGATTTCGATTGCACGCCCGAGACCATGGCTGCGACAGTGCTGGCTGAGACGGATTTGGAGATGGAGCTTTCTTTCGACGGGAGCTGCACGAAGCCAGATATCCTGGAGCTACAACGTGCTGGATGGGCTATCGCTTTAATGGATCCACATTCGGACAAAGTACTATGCACGATGCACGCACCAGTGCCAGCTTCGCTTCCGCAATCCTCGGCGATGGCAGAGTATTTAGCCTACGCGTACACGGGACAGGTGGCAGACCGACCTACCAACGGATACGCGGACTTCATGGGCACGGTCAGACTGGCGGCTCTCACGCACGAGCAGCAGTTACGGTCCAAGTCGGCATACGCGTGCGTGGCCATGTTTGCTCAGAGCCTTCCTGGATTCCATTTCCTCCGCAGTGTGACGCACGTGAAGGCACACCGTTCGGGAGCGGAGTATGCTGGCCTCGATGTGGCCACAAGGAGGATCACAGATGCCAATGTCTATGCGGACGTTCGAGCCAAAGCTGGTGCGGCGATGCATGCAACCATCAGCGAGGATTTCGCGATGGCTATCGACACGGCCACTGTGAGGATCAAACATTTCGCGCAGTTGGTAGCGGCCGTGCTACCCTTGTTTGATCGTGATGGGCAAGAGCGATGGACAAGGCGAGCTGCCCAAGTCAAGAGGGTAAGGAGTACGCGCACCGATGGATGGCACCAGTGGGAGGAAGGAAGCTTCGATCTTCAATGCAAGGCGTGCTTGAAGCTCAACAGCCCAGGGATGGAAGTTATGCTCAATGGCTGCGCTGGCACCCCTACCTTCCTCAAGGCTTTCCTCAACCAACCACTCGGACATCACCTCGTGGCGGTGAACCAGAAGGGTGACGGGCTCAGCGACGACGCGGTGCCCACGGTCTTTGTCTGCGTAGGCTGCGGTGCATGGGCACAACAACGTCGACGGCAGAAACTCCGAAGGCAGTGCAAGCCACCAACCAGACAAGGCATAGAAGTTCTGACGAATCTACGGCGGGGCTTAGGCCCACACAAGACGCTGGCGAGGCACATGGACTTGACGATCCCCCTGTGCAAGCTCATGCCCATGACCCTGCCCCCGCTGGTCTCGAAGACCTGCGTCAGCCGACCTGTGGCGTTGGCGGAGGTCACGGGGTACGAGCACAAGATGGCCGCAATGATGGAAAGGATAAAGGCAAAGGAAAAGGCAAAGCGCGAGCAGGACGATGACAACAACACGATACTCGGACGCACGCGACATGGAGATCCTCAGCAAGGGGGTAGTGTATGCATGGGAACGGGGGCGCCCACTGAGTCCTTGGCGGCCAGCGCGCCTGAGGCACATCAGTGTCGCCAAGACAATGGAATACCCCCCGTGGTACAACAGCATGGCAATCACCTACCCGCAGCCGCTGAAGACGGAGTCGGTGATGATGACGGTGCACGCTGCAGCCAAGACGGAAAGGAGGCAGGAGCAGGGCCTCATCCGAGCAGCGAAGGTGGAAAGGAGGCAGGAGCAGGGCCTCAACCACATGACGGAGACGTCGGTCTCGCCAGGGACCGCGTCGGAAAGGGGGCAGGAGCAGGGCCCCAGCCGAGCGGTCGCGGCGGAAAGGAGGCAGGAGCAGGGCCTCAACCGCATGATGGAGGTGCGCAGCAGAGATGACGAGCAAGGCAGCCAAGTCTCTGGGCACTTTTTCAGGCGGCATCGGGACGACGAACTGAGAGCGGGCAGAAGGACCATGGGCCGAATCCCATGGGAAGGGCAAGCGGGGATCTCGAGAAGCAGACGTTAAAGGCAATCATGGGCGCCCAGGCGCTCAGCGGCAACCACAGCGGGAAACATGCTGCTCGAGACCGCGCAGAGAACACGGGCAGCCTCCGAGGCCAGGAAGCGGCTGCGGTGGCAAGCACTACGAGGAGTTCTTCGAGAAGAAGAGCCGAGCCAATAGGCATGGCGGCGCCCAGCCAGGGGCAACGTGGTCGGAGAGCTGCGTCTGAGGGCGCACTCCAGGGAGCTAATGGCGTTACGAGGTGGGGTACTACGTGGAGTACAGCCTGCACAGCGCCTGTGGCCCTGGATGTGTCTCCCAGGGGCGGCGCGAAGGCGGCTGGGGTGATCCACCCTAGCCGCCTTTCCCCTGCGCGGCGAGGGGTTAGGCCGCAGCGGATGGCGGCAGCGCCCGACACGTTACAGGGCGTTGCCGATGCTACGACGAGGGGCGCTATGAGGAGTACTCCCTGCACAGAGCCTGTGGCCCTGGATGTGTCTCCCAGGGGCGGCGCGCGGGGTACTACGCGGAGCACGGCCTGCACAGCGCCTGTGGCCCTGGATGTTTCCCCCAGGGGCGGCGCGGAGACTGCTGGGGCGCTCTGCCCACACCGCATGTCCCCTGAGCGGCGAGGGGTTAGGCCGCGGTGGCGCATGGCAGCGCCCCACGATTCACAGGGAGATGCTGGCGTCGCGACGCGGGGCACTACGCGGAGCACTCCCTGTGCAGCGCCAGTGGCCCTGGACGTGTCACCCAGGGGCGGCGCGGAGGCGGCTGGGGCGACCTGCCCTAGCCGCCTTTCCCCTGCGCGGCGAGGGGTTAGGCCGCAGCGGATGTGGGCAGCACCTGTCGAGACGCAGGGAGCAGCTGACGCTCATACGAGGGGTACTACGTGGAGTACCTCCTGCACGGCGCCTGTGGCCCTGGAGGTGCCTCCCAGGGGCGGCGCGGAGGCGGCCGGGGCAAGCCGCCCCAGCCGCACTACCCCCTGCGGGGCGAGGGGTTAGGCCGCAGCGGCTCTGGCAGCGCCCGACGAGTCGCAGGCGCTGAGTGCCGCGCTGAGTGCCCGCGGCCGCGGGCGCTCGTGCGCGGCGGCCCCCGAGGGGGCGACCCGCGTCCGCGGGCGTGTCATCATCATCATCCTCCTCCTCGTTTTCCCTCTCCTTCTCCTCCTCCTCCTTCTCCTCCCCCTCCACCTCCTCCTCCTCCTCCTCCTCCTCCTCCTCCTCCTCCTCCTCCTCCTCCTCCTCCTCGGGTCGCCTACGGCCCCGGGGGAAACCATGCAGGTGCAGATGCCAGCTCATGAGTCGGGGCATATCCCCGGCCGTTTGGGGCCTACCCCGCCGAGAGCGGCACCAAGCTCGGACTTGTCGCGGCCGACTGTATGTAATCGACACTGCTTAAGGTATTTGTTGTTTCCAGTGGGTTGCTTAGAAGGGTTCACATTGAAAAAGGAACATTCCCGTGCGCCTTGCTCTTATGAAGCTTCGACGTGATCACGGTGATGATGTAGGCATCGATGATGAGGTTGATGATTTGGATGTGTCTGATGGTGATGCGCTACGTAAGCGAAACATATACGAAACGCGGACGGCTCGTAAACGCAAGATAAACGAAGTGGTGGCCTAGGGAAGTCTTCAGGCATCCTACGAGATTGTTCGGGACACCCCAGTGGTAGTAGTAGTAATAGTCGTCGTCGTCGTAGTAGTAGTCGTCGTAGTAGTAGTAGTAGTAGTCGTAGTCGTAGTCGTAGTCGTAGTCGTATTTGTAGTAGTAGTAGTAGTAGTAGTCGTCGTCGTCGTCGTCGTCGTCGTCGTCGTCGTAGTAGTAGTAGTTATCAAAGTAGCAGTACTAGTAGCAGACAACATAAAAAGAAACAAATAAAGCAGTCGTAGTCGTTAGAGAAGTAGTGATAATAGTAGAAGTAGTAGTAGTAGTAGTAGTAGTAGTAGTAGTAGTAGTAGTAGTAGTAGTAGTAGTACTAGCAGCAGCAGTCGTACTAGTACGAGTACTCGTACCAGTACTAGTACTAGTCAATAGTAGTGGTACTAGTAGTAGTAGTAGTAGTAGTAGTAGTAGTCGTCGTCGTCGTCGTCGTCGTCGTCGTCGTACTGGTAGTCGTAATACTAGTATTAGTAATAATAGTGGTAGTAGTAGTAATAGTAGTAGTAGTAGTAGTAGTAGTAGTAGTAGTAATGGTAGTTGTAGTAGTAGTAGTAGTAGTAGTAGTAGTAGTAGTAGTAGTAGTAGTAGTAGTAGTCGGAGTAGTAGTAGTAGTAGTAGTAGTAGTAGTAGTAGTAGGAGTAGCACTGGTAACAAAGCATTGGGAATCGCAGTCGGCCTCGTTGTGGTATTAATGGTATTCGTGGTGGTCGTGGTAGTCGAAGTAGTACTAGTATATACAGATGATAGGTGTAATAATCGTTGTAGTACCACTAGGAGTAGTAGTAGTAGTACTAGTTCTAGTACTAGTATAGTAGTAGTAGTAGTAGTAGCAGTAGGCGTGGAAGCACTAGTAGTAGAAGTAGTAGTCGTCGTCGTCCGAATCTTTCATAATGATAAGAATGGTAGCACTACCGGTTGTAATCTTAGGAGCAGTAGTGGTGATAGTAAAAGAAGTAGACGAAGAAGTGGTAGCATTCATAGTACTGGTAGTAATAGTACCGGTGCGACTGATAGTAATAGCATTAAAGGCGATGGGAACAGCTGTGGCAGAAAGAGTGGTACATGTGACAAAAATGGTAGTATCAACCGTTATTGCATTATTCGTAGGAGTAGTTGCTTGTAGTAGTGGCAGTAGTTATAGCAGTAGTACCAGTAACAGTAGCAGTAGTAGTAGTAGTAGCCGTAGTAGTAGTAGTAGAAGTAGTAGTAGTAGTAGTAGTAGTAGTAGTAGTAATAGTAGTAGTAGTAGTAGTAGTAGTAGAAGTCGACGTCGTAGAAGTAGTGGTACAGCAGCAGCGGTAGTAGTAGTAGTAGTAGTAGTAGTAGTAGTAGTAGTAGTAGTAGTAGTAGCACAAATTGTAGTAGAAGTCGAAATAGTAGTTCTAGTAGCACTGGTAGCAGTAGTCGTCGAAATATTTTTGGTAGTAGTGCAGTAGTAGTAGTAGTAGTAGTAGTAGTAGTAGTAGTAGTAGTAGTAATAATAGTGACAGTAGTAGTAATGAGTAGCAGTGGTAGTGGAAGTCGCAACGGTGGTATGTTTGGTAGTAGTAGTAGTAGCAGTCGCAGTCGTAGTAGTAGTCTTTGTCGTCGTCGCCGTCGTCGTAGCCGTAGTAGTCGTAGCATCAGTAGTAGTCTACTACTACTCCTATTACTACGACTGCTGCTACAACTACTACTACTACTACTACTACTACTACTACTACTACTACTACTACTACTACTACTACTACCTACTAGTATTACTTCTACTACTGCTACTACTACTACTACTACGACTACTACTACTACGACTATTACTACCACTACTACTACTACTACTACTACTACTACCACTACCACTACCACTACCACTACCACTACCACTATTACTACTGCTACTACTACTACTCCTACTCCTACTACTACTACTCATACTACTACTACTACTACTACTACTACTACTACTACTACTACTACTACTACTACTACTACTACTACTGCTACTACTACTACTACTACTACTACTACTACTACTACTACTACTACTACTACTACTACTACTACTACTACTACTACTACTACTACTACTACTACTACTACTACTACTACTACTACTACTACTACTACTACTACACTACTACTAACTACGACTACTACGACTACTACTACTACTACTATTATTACTACTACTACTACTACTACTACTACTACTACTACTACTACGACTACTACTACTACGACTACTACGACTACTATACTACTACTACTACTACTACTACTACTACTACTACTACTACTACTACTACTACTACTACTACTACTACTACTACTACTACTACTACTACTACTACTACTACAGACTACTCTACTACGTCTAGTACCACTACGAATAAGAACAATAGTAGTCGCCAACAGTAGCCGCGACGGGGGGGCAACGCTCCTTGTCATCCTCCCCTTCCTCCTTGTCCTCCTCTTCGTATCATTCCTCCTCGTCTACCTCCTCATCCACATCCTCTGCCTCCTTCTCTTCCTCCTCCTCCGTTTCTTTCCCCCCTTCCTCCACCCGCTCGCCTTCCACGATTCTTCAGCTGCACGGCAATGCCTGCGTACACCACAGCGTACACCTCAGCGCCCGCGTGCACAACAGCGCCTGTGTGCACCGCAACGCCTGTGAACACAGCAGCCACGTGCACCACGCCGAATATGTTAACCACAGTGCCTTGGTGCACCAAAGCGCCCGCTTGTGTACACCACTGGCCCTGCGTGCACTTTTGTGCATGCGTCAGCGCCTGGTTCGGGGGAGTCGCGCGGAGTCGCGGGAAATCAATGTGGAGCTTGGGGGATCTTGCGGAATCTTGATGGATCCTGAGGACTCCTGGGGAACATTGAAGCATCTTGGGGGCGGTCCTGGAAAATTGTTGTGGGTCATGTGGAATGCTCAACAGCCCTCGGGAATCCTGAGGACTTCTATTGAATATTGGCGAGTCTCCAGGAATAGAGGAATCATCTGGGATCCTGAAGAATCTTATGGGATCCTGAAGAATCCTCCGTGATCCTACAGAACCCTAGGGGTTCATGAGGGAACCTGAGGAATCCTGAGGGTTCCTGAGGAGTCGGGGGGATCCTGGGGAATCATTGTGGGTCCTGCGGGATGTTGAAGAATCGTGAGGAAGCTTCGGGGAGAGGAATCTTGAAGAGTGTTCAGGATTGTGGAGTGAGGAATACTGTGGAACGTTGTGAAGTCCTGAAGAATCCTGTGCGATCCGGTGAAGTCCTGAAGAATCCTGCGGTATCCTGTGGAATCTTCTGCAGCCCTGGGGAATCCTGCGCACTCCTTTGGAATCCCACGAAGTTCGGAGGACTTCGGAGGACTCTTGTGGAAGCCTTTGAAGTCCCCAGTAATATGAACGAATCCTAAAGTATCTTCTGAACTCCCGAAGAATCCTGGGGAAGCCTGTCGTAGACCCTGAAGTCCTGAAGCATCCTGAGTACTCCTGTGGAATCCTCCCTGAGTTCCCGAGGGGTTCTCGGTAAGCCTGTGGAATCTTCTGACGTCCTCAGGGATCTGGAAGAATCCTGTGGTATTCTCGGAAGTCCTGCGGAATCCGGAGGAATCCTCTTGAAATTCTTGGAAATCCAGAAAGCCTCTCAGAAGCATCTCAGAGCCTGTCAGAAGCTGTTCAGAAACCTTTCAGAAACCTTTTTTTGTCAGAAGCCTCGCAAAAGCTTCGCAGAAGCCTGTCAGAAGCCTTTCAAAAACATGTCAGAGACTGTCTGAAGCTTCTCAGAAGCCTCTCCGAAGCTTTCTGTTGTCCAGAAGCCTCAAAGAAGCCTGCCAGGAGCCTTTCAGAAGCTTATCAGAAGCCTCCCAGAAATTTCTCCGAAACATGTTCAAAAGCCTCTCGGATGCCTTTTTTCAGAGGCTTCGTAAGCGGGCCCCAAAGGCTTCTAAGAGAGCCCCAAAAGTATCTTGTAGAGAAAAACCTTGGCGAAGGACCCACGCATATGCAATTGTGAGTACCGCAGTTGTGAGCCCCGCCTTCGGTGGAGCTCCTTGTAGGGCCACGGAACGCGTGAGCGGTGTGCCGACATGGATGCGGCAGCGCCATGCGAAACCTGACACGGGGGCCTTCGGTGGAGTTCCTTCTGGGGCTACGAAACGTGTGAGGGGTGTACCGAAATGGGGCGGGGCCGCCATGCCAACTTTGCCACTGGGGCCGTTGGTGGAGCTCCCCATGGGGCCACGACGCGTGTGAGGGGTGCGCCGAAGTGGTGCGGGGCCTGGGGCCGCCATGCGAACTTTGCCACTGGGGCCGTTGGTGGAGCTCCCCATGGGGCCACGACGCGTGTGAGGGGTGCGCCGAAGTGGTGCGGGGCCCGGGGCCGCCATGCGAACTTTGCCACTGGGGCCTTCGGTGGAGCTCCCCATTGGGCCACGAAAGGTGTGAGGGGTGCGCTGAGATGCGCGCGGTGGCGCCATGCGAACCCTGACACGGGGGCCTTCACGAAACGTGCGAGGGGTGCGCCGAAATGGGGCGGGGCCGCCATGCGAACTTTGCCACTGGGGCCTTCGGTGGAGCTCCTCATGGGGCCACGAAACGTGTGAGGGGTGCGCCGAAATAGGGCGGGGCCGCCATGCAAACTTTGCCATTGAGGGGTGTGCCGAAACAGATTCCCAGATAACTCCTTGGAGAGCTAAGAGGGTTTCATATTAGAAGCCGGCAGGCAAGGCTACGCCAGCTCCTCTCCAAGGCTCCCGGGCTGGCATCCTCGCATCGCCATGTTTGAAGCTACAGCGTGTCCCGAGAAACGTTTCCCTACTCGTTCCCAATACGCGTGCCCGAAGCCTTTACGCAGGTCATTCGCAGCTCCCTCGAAGCTCATTCGAAGCTTGCTTTGCAAATGCAAAGCTTGCAAGCTCCCCAGGCATTCTTTCCAGAGCCCTGGCATGCGTCTACCAAAGGTGTTTTCCCAGATAGCTCGTAGAGTGCTAAGAGGGTTTCAGATTAAGAAGCCGGAGCCGCAGGGGAACCGCGGAGCTCGTTCCGGCTGCCGGCAGGAAGCCTCGGCGGGGCCGGTTTGAAGCTGCTGCGTGTCCCGACAGGCCTTTTCTAAGCGTTTCCCAATACGCATGCCCGGAAGCTCTCCAGAAGGTCTGTCGGAAGCTCCCTCCAGGTCCTTCCAGAGATCTTCGACAGGCCTTTCCACGCCCCTCTGGCGCCCTGCCATCTTGGTGTTGGGCCCCACAAGTACACGCCGAGAGGAGAGGCCGGGATGGGAGGAGGGAGGCGGGGGAGGCGGGAGGCGGGAGGAGGAGAACGCGGGGCGCCGTCGCTTCACAGCGAGGACCCAACACCACAGGATGGTTGGGAAAAGAACTAAATGCTTGCCTTGCTGGAATTGGTCGAAGCGGCCGGGGTTGGACCCACCGAGCTGGGAGATGTACCGGCTTGCCAGGATTGGTGCTGATTTCGGCAGGGGAGCCCAGACCCCCCCGGTTGAGAAGAAACCCAGAGATCTTGGCGATGCATTTTTTCACAACCGGCGATTTCGCTAAATTTTGGGCCCCCGGACTCTCACCGATCCATCCTGTTCGAAAAATGACGCAGAAAGATTGGGTCCAGGGCTCTTGTTGTGATTCTCTGCGATGCTGTATTTTTATGCAACGTCGGATATCAGGGAATCACGGTGGGAGGTTCTAAAACATGTCAGGTTTCTGGGGGCCCCCATCGGGCCTGGGGACCGGTCCCGGGAAAGGGGTCCAGGCCTCTGGGGGTCGACGTTGTGAAAAAGTCACGAAGTCGTGGGTCTGGGGAAGCAACCCTGCTTCTTGGAAGGAGCGGGCCTTGTCTGCAGATGTGGGGCTGGCGCCTTCCAAGAAGCAGCCTCCTTCTAAGAAGCCTTCCCCCCTCCCCCTGCCCCCTTGTGCGCGCCGCCTATGGGCCTCCCAGATGGGGTCGGAGCAGGCGGCGTCGAATGATCACTCCGCATCGCCGATGCATCGCCGATGCGGCCCGCTGTGGAGCCCGCATTTTCTCCATGCTGACGTCGCCAGTGCATCGCCGACGTCGCAGGTGCATCGCCAGCGCATCGGTGATGTGTCGACGATACGGCGCGGTCCTCCGACCCCATATGGGAGGCCTCCAGAGGAGCGAAACAAGAGCAGGTCTTGGCTACTCGCAAGAGTGACGCTTCGCCAGAGTGACCTCTGGTGCCCGCTCACCCGGGCTCTTCTCGATCGCGGGATGCGGTGCGACAGCATCGGCTTGCGCCCTTGGGTTGTGGCCCCCAGCGCGCCCGCCAGAAGCCGCGCACCAGAGGGCACTCGTGTCTGGGTCGCTCTGACGTGCGGCCGAAGGTCGGCCATCCGCCGCAAGCAGCGGGAGGTGCTCGCGAAGTGGACCGCGATGCGGGCGCTCAACCTAAGGACCGCCCGCCCTACCAACAGGGTGCGAGCCCCTAGGGGGGCACGTCAATTGGGAAAAACAGCATGTGCACTGGTGAGGTGTGATCAACAATAGTTGGTTCTCAAGAGGGAGGGTTCAACAACAGCAGCAACTATCAGTTTAAGACTGTTCGCTCTTGTCTGCTCGGGTGCCATCCAACACGTACATCCCAAACCCTCGATACCCGCCTTTTTCGTTTTCGATCGTACCCCTTTTCGGGGCATAGCTTCCTTACTTGCCGCGTGTACTTGGCGCAGCACTTAGATTTCGGGAAGGGGGGAAGAGGGAAGGGACAAGGGCAAGCTAGGCGCGTTAGCGTCACATCTGGCGTCCTACCCCTCCCTCCCATCCCTTACCATGGCGTAGATCTTTATCTATTCGCGTAGTCTGATGTCGAGCAGGGCAATGATCCCAAGAGGGTACGCGATGGATGGAAAAGCATGGAGTAGAAGAGCACGGCACAGCATAGCATGTCATAGCATGGCATGGTATTGCGTAGTGAAGCATTGCATCACACAGCAGAGCAACGCAACGCATGGCATCGCACAGCGGTGCACAACACAGCATCGTATTGCATGCCGTGGCATGGGACCGAGGGAGGCCAGGACCGATGGAATTGAGACCAGCGCTGCGGCGGGCGCACGACTTAGAAGGACTGGAACGCGGGAACGAGGCCAGGACCGAAAGCGGGAGTGAGGCCACCGTTGCCGCGGCAGCACGAGGTGGAAGGACCGAAGCACTGGAACGAGGCCAGCGCTACAGCGACAGCGCTACTTGGAAGGACCGAACACGCCAGAGCTGCTGCGGGAACACGATCTGGAACAGCCGGAGGCGCGGGAACAAGGCCCGCGTTGCAGCGTGAGCACGATTGTGAATGACCGAAGTGCGGAAATGAGGGCGGCGCTGCAGCGGGAGCACCATCTTGGAAAAACGGGAAACGACCGGATTGACAAAAACACCAGGAAAAAAGAATGAAAGCTTGTGTGCGAAAACAATAAGCGGATAGGACGGGACACTCTCTGGACAGAGTCAGGGGAGAGAGGAGGGTAGTATTCATATTGTTGAATCGTGGAGGGAGAAGGATGGAGGACGAGAGAGATTAGCAGGAGGGGTTCGAGGAGCAGGAAAACACGTGGCAGAACCAGACGGGCGGGTCGGGCGGGCGGACCTTGACAGTCGGGTCGGGCGGGCGGGCCCAGACGGCTGGGTCGAGCGGGCGGGCCGCTAAAGCATCAGTCCTGCATGAATCACGAAGACGTCTTGAGCGACAGCGCGATTCCCAAGTAAATTGTGAGGAAGTCAAAAGCGAGAACGTGGTTCCTGAGTGTCGAGGGTGCGGCGTCTCCACAATTCCGAGGGAAGTACCACGCGAGAGCGCGATTCTTTTCGCAGGTTGTACGAATGTCCCGCGCGATTGCGCGAATTTTAAATAATTTGCAAGACTAAGTTGCTGGGAATTTCTGGCGGGAGCCGTTATTGCTGTTACAGTTCAGGGGGGCAGGGGGGCACTCTGAACCTCCAGATTTTCTTATAAACCAGGTGCAAGCCCCGGAGGGGCACTTCAATTGAACCAGAACCACATGGGCACCAGAGTTGGGGGATCAACAATAATCGCTCGCTAGAGAGATGAGGATTCAACAACAACAACAACAACAGCAACCACCACCACCACACCAAACACCACAGCAACAACAACACTAACAACAACAGCAACAACAACAACAGCAACAGCAACAACAAGAGCAACAACAACAACAACAACAGCAACAACACCAACAACAACAATCATTTTCAGACTGATCGCTCTTCGTGGCTCGCGTGCCACTCGACGCGTATGTCCCCGCCCTCTTCTTCTTCGATCGTGCCCCCTTGGGGGGTTAGACCTCCCTGACCTCTGCCACGCGCAGTTGGAGCAGCCCCCAGAACAGGGGAGGGAAGGGAGGAGGAAAGAGACGAAGGGGGAGGGAGCAGGATGGAGCAAGCGAGGGATGTGCAGGAGGAGGGCTAGGAGCAGGAGCACAAGCGGCAGAGCCAGGCGGGCCGATCGGACGAGCGGTCCCTAAGGGGCAGGGCAGGCGGGCGGGCCCAGAGGGCCGGGTCGGGGGGGCGGGTCGGTGAAGCGTCAGGCCAACATGACGCGTAAGGAATTTTCGGGCGACCGCGCGATTCCCAAGCAAATCGTGAGGAAATCCAAAGCGAGAGCGTGATGTTTGAGCCTTGGGGGCACGGCGCCGCAAACACATGTGAAGAAGTACCACGCGAGAGCACGATTCCTGCTTAAGTTCTGAAGGAGTCCCGCGCGAGAGCGCGATTCTCAAATCAATTGTGAGGACGTATCAGGCGGGAGCTGCTGCTGTTGCAAAGCGGGGGCCAGGAGCGCAGTCTGAGAACAAAGATTTTCTTTGATAGAAGACAGGATGCAAGCTCTGGGAGGAGCACTTTATGGAACAACATAATGTGCACTGGGCATGGGGGATCGACCATAATTCTTTCCTTTGGAAAACAATCAACAACACAAGCAGCAACACCAAACACCACCAACAACAACAATCAGTTTAAGACTTATCGCTCTTACCTGCCAGCGTGCCGTTCGACAAGTATATCCCAAACAATCGGTACCCGCCCTCTTCGTCGTCGATCGTACCTCACTGGGGGTATATATTCCGTACATGCCGGGTGTAATGAGCGCAGCCCCTGAAACAGGGGAAGAGAGGACGGATGGAAGGGGGAGAGAAGGATGAAGTACGGGATTAGCAGGACGGTCCAGGAGCAGAAAACACGTGACAGAACCAGACAGGCAGATCGGGTGGGTAGACGCTAACGGGCGGGTCGGGAAGGCGGGCCCAAGCGGCCAGGTCGAGCAGGCGGGTTGTTGAAGCGTGGGTACTGCACAAAGTGTGAGGAAGTCTCGAACGATAGCGCGATCCCCGAGTACATCATGAAAGAGCAAAAGCGAGAGCGTGATTCCTGAGCGTCGAGGGCGCGGCGTTTGAATACATTGCGAGGAAGTCCCACGCGAGAGCCAATTCCTGCAACAGTTACCGGGCAAGGGGATCAACAACAAACATTATTTACAAACTAACATTCAACAACCACAACAACAACAATAATAACAACCACAACCATAATCACAACCACAACAACAACAGCAGCAACAGCAATCAGCTTGAGACTGTGCGTTCTTATTTGCTCGCGGGCCACTCAACACGTATATCCCGAACCCCCGATGCCCGCCACTATCGTCGTCGATCGTACCCCTTTGGGGACTGTTGTTGTCAACCTGCTACGCGTACGTCGTGCAACCCCAGGGCAGGGGGAGACAAGACGCATGGAAGAAAAAGGACAAGGGGGAGGGAGGAGGATGGAGCACAAGAGAGAGTAGCAGGGGGGGGCGCCAGGAGCAGAGAGCACGCGGCAGAACCCGGCGGGCAGATCGGGCGGGCAGGCCTTCACGGGCGGGTCGGGAAGGCGGGCACGGGCGGCCGGTTCGAGCAGGCGGGTCGCTGACGCGTGCGCCGTGCATGAGTCGCGGGGGCGAGTCGAGGGATCGCGCGATTCCCAAAGAAATCGTCCAGAAATCCTGAGCGAGAGCGTGATTCTTGAGCGTCGAGGGCGCGGCGTCTGAAACAAATGCGAGGAAGTCCCACGCGAGAGCGCGATTCCTGCATGCGTTGTGAGGAAGTCCGGCGCGAGACCGCGATGTTGGAAAGACTTGTGAGGAAGTACCCAGCGGGAGTCGATGTTGTTGCAAACCAGGTGTTCAAAACACAGCTCTGTGACAGCTCATTCGTTGGGTTTCTAAGAGAATAGAAGCCCCAGGATGAGTTCTTGAATCGAACAATACAATGGTCACCACGGTGGGGATCAACCGCATTTTGTTCGAGCTGAGAACCCAACAACAGCACCAACAATAACAATCGTTTAAACACATGTCGCTCTTATCTGCTCGCGTGCCGCTCAACACGTATATCCCGAACCCTCGATACCCACCCTCTTCGTCTTCGATCGTATCCTCTTTGGGTGAATATGCTTCTTACCTGCAACATGTTTTTCGCGCAGCACCTAAGACAGGGAACGAAAGGACGGATGGAAGGAAGGGACAAGGGGGAAAGAAGATGGAGCAAGAGAGAGAGAGAGAGAGTAGCAGGAGGTGGGTTGGGAGCAGAAATCGAGTAGTAGAACCAGACGGGCAGATCGGCCGGGTAGACCCGAGCAGGCGGGCCCAGGCGGCCAGGTCGAGCAGGCGGGTTGCTGCAGTGCGAGGAAGCCTTGAGCGACAGCGCGCTTCCGAAGGAATTCTCGTGAGGAAATCCAAAGCGAGAGCGGGATTCCTGAGTGTCGAGGGCGCGGCGCCTGAATCAAGTGCGAAGAAGTCCAAAGCAACGGCGCGATTCATCAGTGTCGAGCGCGCGACGCCAGAATAAATCGCGAGGAAGTATCAGGCGATAGCGCAATTCTTTTTTCTAGATTGCAAGGAGTTCCCTAGCGAGATCCTGATTCTTCAATAACTTGCAAGGAAGTATCCGGCGGGAGCCGCTGTTGTTGTAAACCGGGGACCAGGGGCACAGCTTGAACAGGAACGCTTCCCCTTGTAAAAGCACAGCGCGCCCTGGGAAGGGCATTTCATTGAAAAACATGTATGTTACGCGAATGCGTGAGTCCTGCATAATTCGCAAGGAAGTCTCGGGCGAGAGCGCAATTCCTGAGTAAATTGTTCTGGAATCCCACGCGAGAGCGCGATTCCTGAATGGCGAGGGCGTGGCGCCTGAATAGATTTTGAGAAAGTCACAGGAGAGAGCACGATTCTGTTATAAATTGCACGGAAGTCCCTAGCGAGAGCGCGATTCTTCAGTAAACTGCGAGGAAGTATCCGGCGAGAGTAGTCCGGGCGCCAGGGGCGCAATTTGAGGAGGAACATTTTTCCTTCCAACAAAAAAACAGGGTGCGGGCCCCAGGAGGGGCAGTTCAATTGAAAAACACA